TGTTTGTACGTCGTATTGTCCGTGTGTGATTGACGATTGGCATGTGATTACCTTCTCCATCACTGTTTTCTTCTTCTTTTTGCCATTCGTCTCTCTTTCGTTCACCCACCTTGGATTACTTTCTCTTTTTACCGCCCTTTTTATGATTTCTTCGCAACCGCCGCGACTGTTCGCTACGACGTATTCTGGTTTTGCGTTTCCGATCTTATCCTTCGCACGCTGTCCTCGCGGGGTTTTCTCGCAGTGTTGACGGGTCCCCGTTTCATTTCGTTGCAGAGCGGCGAATCGAAGGACAGACAGACGGATGGTCGCGAGCCGCGGAAGAAACGCACTCTCGTTCTCGCGCGATGTATAGACGGATTTCTACCTTTCGCTTTCTTCTCTCCAGTACGTCGTCTCCTTCTTACGACGGACGAAGGACTTTGGCTACTTTGGCTAACGGCGTAACGCTTATCGCTTCACACGTTGTTTCTCGCTTCTGGGATGTAAATACATACGACGACGTAGTGATCTTGCGGCAGACGCGGCCGTGACTGCCAACGGCTTCGCGAACTTCATTCTCTTTTTTTTTTTACCCTTTTGTTTCTTTTTTTGATCTCTCTTTAATCGTTCCAGTTACTCGTTTCCAGTTTCAGTTTCAGTTACTCGCGCGACACCGAGGATCTTAGTTGATCACTTCAGGTTTTGTATATTCCCGTTTCTTCTTCGTTTATACGTATAATTTATTATATTCCCCATCCGCGTACGTCTGTGGGTATACATGAGAGTGTGACTGTGAGTGTGAAGCGGGGCGGGTGTGAAGCGCACGGATTGATTATAGATTGCGTTACAGTGCCGGGGGATCCTCAGGATGTCACAGCCGTTGCCATCAACTCGACGGCGATACAAGTGAAGTGGAAGCCGCCGAAGGCGAAAGATCAAAACGGCGTTATACGTGGCTACCACATACACGTGCAGGAAGTGAGGGAGGAGGTGAGTCGCGGCGACTGTTCGATTTTTCAAGTTTGGCGAAGTTTTCACCAAACTGAAGAAGTCGAAGACGTGTGTGAAGATGTCCGTGTGCGCAATATCGATTCGAGTAACGCCACTATCGCTTCATCGATTTCATCAGGGGAAAGACCTACTGAACGAACCGATACGTCGAGACGTGCACGAGGATGGCGTGCTTGAGGTGAATATCACTGGATTGCAACCCGACACGAGATACTCGGTGCAGGTAGCAGCTCTGACGAGAAAAGGAGACGGGGATCGTTCGGTACCGGTTCACATTAAGACACCGGGCGGCGTGCCGAACAGACCGCAGGTCAACGTGAAGTAAGAATCACGCTGGAAAGCCGCGCGAGATTTCGTCGTTTCCGCCTCGCGCAAACACCCTCGCGAAGCCGCGTGTTTGTTATTATACATCTTCCTTCTTTCAGGGTGCTCAGTAGGGGTCCCGACGTTCTAGAGCTCGAATGGGCAGCACCTACCCAAACCTACGGTAATCTTCTGGGATACCGTATTCGCTATGGCATAAAAAATCAAACGCTGAAGGAGGAATTCATCGACAACATGAATCAACACACGTACAAGATCACGGACCTTGGTGAGCGAAATGGAAATGTCTACCGACTCGAAATCTCTGCTCGTTCCTTACGGGGCAGTGTCGCGAAATTTTACAACAAGACCCTTTCCTTTTCCGTTCACACGATTGATTACCATCATCCGTAGGCGAACAAGGCGTGGACTATGAGTTCAGGGTGGCGGGCAAGAACAACATCGGCTACGGCCAAGAGACCGTGCGGTACTGGTTCAGCCCAGAGGGCGAACCGACCGGGCCACCGACGAATCTGTCATATTTCTTTCAAACCCCCGATACCGTGTGCGTCACCTGGGACAAGCCTCAACGACAGCACAGGAACGGACAGATAATAGGCTACGATGTGCAATTCAACAAGAAGAATGACCATTCCACCACCATCGACCGGAACACGACCAAAACCAGGGCGGTGTTCACCGATCTCGAGGAGAACACAGAGTACGTGTTCCACGTGCGGGCGCACACGTCACAGGGTAGCGGTCCGTATTCCGAGAAGATTACGATAATAACGGAGAAGGACATCGGCAGGGCGCCGATGTCCGTGAGAGCCGTGGCGACATCGGACTCCAGCGTGGAGGTGTGGTGGGAGCCGGTACCTAATCGAGGCAAGATCGTTGGGTATCAGATTTTCTACACGACAACCGCTGTGGAGGACTTGGATGAATGGAAGCAGAAGAGCGTCGGTCTCACGGAATCGGCGGACTTGATCAATTTGGAGAAGTTCACTCAGTACGCTATAACGGTGGCGGCGCGTTACAAGACCGGCCTGGGGAGACTCAGCGAAAAGGTCACGGTGAAGGTAAAGCCGGAGGACGTACCGTTGAACCTCAGAGCACCAGACTCGTCCACGCACTCGATGACGCTCTCTTGGACTCCACCCATCAGACTGACCCCGATAAAGTACAAGGTGTCGTTCGATGCTGTGAAGGAGTTTGTGGACTCGCAGGGTATAACGCAGACGCAGATAGTGCCTCGTCGACAGATCCTGTTAGAACCTCAAGTAACAAGCACGACGATCAACGAGTTGCAGCCGTTCACGACTTACAACGTCAACGTGAGCGCCGTACCGCGCGATTCTCAGTACAGACCACCGGCTAAGATCACAGTCACTACGCAAATGGCTGCACCTAAGCCGATGGTAAAGCCGGATTTCTACGGCGTGGTGAACGGCGAGGAGATCCAAGTGATTCTGCCGCAGGCATCTGAGGAATACGGTCCGATCTCACACTACTACCTGATCGTCGTGCCCGAGGACAAGAGCACAGCTGACAAACAGCCGGATGAATTGACCGAAGACATGATCACGGGGAAAGGTGCTAAACAAGAGAGAGAAAACGCGCCGTACATCGCCGCCAAGTTTCCACACAGAGACATTCCGTACACGTTCCATCTGGGAAGCGGGGATATCTACGAGGGATACGAAAATCGGAAACTCGTCAAAAACAAACGATACAGGATATTCGTACGGGCTGTGGTCGACACTCCGCGAAAGGTAAGATGCGACAAGTGGCGTCACTGCTTCGTGCGTCATTTATTATTATTATTATTATCATCTAAACACTTCTTCATCAGACATTTTGTTGAGGAATGAGTAACGGCGGCGGAGGTGGTCACGATCCCGCGCGTTAAAAAAAATGCTGGTTCGGGTCAGTTGCGAAGGGTATCTGACGCTATAACAATCTATCTTTTTTTTTTCATTCTTCCTTCTGCTCTTTCTGGATAAAGGTCTTTCGTCGAGTAAGTGTGATATTAGTTAAGCTGAGTATTTTACTTCAATTATCAGGTAATTGCGCTTCTAGCGCCGAGCATTGCGCCTCGTGCGCCGAGCATTGCGCTTCGTGCGCCAGGTTTCTGTTTACAGCTCCCGCCACCTCCTTCGTCGGCGCTTCTAACCTGCGGCTGTTTGCCGCCTACTTTCCTGACGCTCAGACCTGCAGCGGCTCTTGCCGCCTCTACCGTCGGCGCTCCTGACCTGCGGCTGTTTGCCGCCTCCCTTCCTGACGCCCAGACCTGCAGCGGCTCCTGCCACTTCTACCGTCGGCGCTCCTGACCTGCAGCTATTTGCCGCTTCCCTTCCTGACGCCCGGACCTGCAGCGGCTCCTGCCGCCTCTACCGTCGGCGCTCCTGACCTGCGGCTATTTGCCGCTTCCCTTCCTGACGCCCGGACCTGCAGCGTCTTCTGCCGCCTCTATCGTCAGCGCTCCTGATCTGCGGCTCTTTGCCGCCACCCTTTCCTTGACATCCGGATCTGAAGCGGCTCCTGCCGCCTCCTCTGTCAACGCTCCTGATCTGCGGCTGTTCGCCGCCTACCCGACGTTTCCCGACGTTTGGATCATCTTCGGCTACTGCTGCCCTTCTCGAAGACGCTCTTGACCTGTGATTGTCGACTTCCTCCTCTCCCGATACCCGAATCTGTCGCGGCTCTCATCACCTCCAATACAACGCTCCCTTCGAAAATTACGTGAATACACCTATTCTCATGATAAACAATTTTACTATATATAGATGAAATACAGTCCGCATACACATTTTATCGTACGAAATATTTTACTGTTGTTTACGATAACTCGTCGTCCGCAACATTCCACAGACATGCATATCTACGTGACGGTACTCTTCTAAATCTCATTATTTATTATGTTCTCAATAATACGATACGTTAAATATTTTTCGCCTTGTTAAATTAACGAATCTACCAGATACATATAATTTGAACTGTTCATAAACACTAAATTGATATACATTGATTTTATAAAGAAGTTCCATGTATTTAACACATCTTTATAATATGGAGTCATGAACAAAAGTCTGGTTCAAATTGAAAACCATTATAACATAAACAAGATAGTAATATGAAAGAAAAAACAAAAAATAATATAAACAGCGAAATATCACTAACGAAAAAACAGATGATGAAATGTCTGAAGAATAAGTGTCTATAAGTACCCAACGACAAACTTCCAGTTTGCGACTGGATAACACAACGTCATTTAGATAAATATATTCTACTCTTATGCAGCACTTGTACACGTCGTCACCATTTTCCGAATACCTGTCTTTGGACATGAGGGAAGTACCTCCCGGCGAGCCGCCGCGTCGACCAAACCCCAACACGCCCCCGGATGGAAACCCAGAGGTGTCCGTGAAAACTAGCGGTCAGGAACCGGGCATGTTGTGGGTAGTTGGTCCCATAATAGCGGCACTAATGGTCAGCGTCTGCTTTGTGCTCTTATTCGTCATCAAAAAGTATGTACATATGATATTACTCTGAAGAATGCATAAAGTTGGCCAGGACAGGTAGCTGAGTGAGACGTATTCACGAAACTTGCCTTGTAATCATTTCAGAAGGAGGCAGCCTTGCAAAGCACCGGATCAGGCGGCTGTGACGCGGCCGCTCATGGCGGCGGATATTAGTTCCAATCACGCGCCGTCCGATCCAGTGGAGATGCGGCGGTTGAATTTCCAAACCCCCGGCATGATCTCGCATCCGCCAATACCTATCAGCGAATTGGGCAATCACATCGAACGCTTGAAGGCGAACGACAATCTAAAGTTCAGTCAAGAATACGAGTCGATAGAACCGGGCCAACAATTCACGTGGGACCACTCCAATATGGAAGTGAACGCGTCGAAGAATCGCTACGCCAACGTGATCGCGTACGATCATTCACGGGTCATCCTTCAGACCGTCGACGGCATGCCCGGCTCGGACTACATCAACGCGAATTACTGCGACGGCTATAGAAAACAGAACGCGTACGTGGCCACACAGGGACCGTTGCAGGAGACGTTCGGGGACTTTTGGCGCATGTGTTGGGAATTACGCACCAGCACGATCGTAATGATGACAAAGCTGGAGGAAAGAACGAGGATCAAATGCGATCAATACTGGCCTACTCGGGGTTCCGAGACGTACGGTCAAATGACGGTGACGATTAGCGACGTGCAAGAACTAGCGACCTATTGCATTCGCACGTTCCAAGTTTGCCGAGCGGGCTATTCCGAGCGGCGAGAAATCAAGCAGTTGCAATTCACCGCCTGGCCGGATCACGGCGTGCCGGAGCACCCCGCGCCGTTCTTGCAGTTCTTGCGCAGAGTTAGGTCCCTCAACGTGCCCGACAGCGGACCGCTGGTAGTGCACTGCAGCGCTGGTGTCGGAAGAACCGGCTGCTTCATCGTGATAGATTCGATGCTGGAGAGAATCAAGCATGAGAAGATGATAGATATTTACGGACATGTGACGTGCCTGCGCGCTCAGAGGAACTACATGGTACAGACAGAGGATCAGTACATCTTCATACACGATGCCCTGCTCGAGGCGGTGATCTGCGGCAATACCGAGGTACCGGCGAGGAATCTACACTCTCATATCCAGAAGCTCATGCAACCAGAGATCGACAACATCACCGGAATGGAGTTGGAGTTCAAGAAGCTCTCCAACATCAAGGCCGACTCGACCAGATTTATATCCGCGAATCTGCCGTGCAACAAGCACAAGAATCGACTGGTCCACATATTGCCTTACGAGTGCACCAGGGTATGCCTGCAGCCGCAACGTAACATCGAGGGATCCGATTACATAAACGCCAGCTTGATCGACGGTTATCGCTACCGGGGAGCTTACATAGCGACACAAGGTCCTCTATGCGACACCACGGATGACTTCTGGCGTATGCTATGGGAGCACAATTCCACGATCGTCGTGATGCTGACGAAATTGAAGGAGATGGGCAGGGAGAAGTGTCACCAGTACTGGCCGTCCGACCGATCTATCCGTTATCAGTGCTTCGTCGTGGACCCGATTGCGGAGTACAACATGCCGCAATACATACTGCGCGAATTCAAAGTGACGGACGCGCGCGACGGTGCGAGCCGTACGGTCCGGCAATTCCAGTTCATCGACTGGCCGGAACAGGGTGTCCCCAAATCGGGTGACGGTTTCATCGATTTTATCGGTCAGGTGCACAAAACGAAGGAGCAATTCGGCCAGGACGGACCGATCACCGTGCACTGCAGCGCAGGTGTCGGCAGGACGGGCGTCTTCATCACCCTCAGCATCGTGTTGGAGCGAATGCAGTACGAGGGTGTCGTCGACATCTTCCAGACCGTGAGAATACTGCGCACGCAACGTCCGGCTATGGTGCAGACCGAGGTTCGTAACGAGAAACTCGCGATGCTCTACGATCTTTTCTGTACACGCGCGCCTCACATGCATGCATTCTTGTTTGCAGGATCAATATCAGTTCTGCTATCGATCTAGTTTGGAGTATTTAGGCTCCTTCGATCACTACGCCAACTGACAAGCCGACTCTCGCGAACAGAGGGATCTGTCGAGGGACAAGCGAGACCGGCAACGGGGCGAGAGAGATATCGAGAGGGCAAAAGTACGACGTGTCTAGTACAATAAAGTCGTGTGACATACTCGTACCTTCCAAGGACAAATGCAGCAAGAGTAGCGGAACGCGGTTACTAGTGTCGCGACCAGGCAGTTAAACATAGAAACGAAACGATTTAGTCAATGATGTTGCAGTAAATTGCAAGATTCCACGCCGGAAATTTTCACTCTTCACGAGACACAGCATGACACGGCCGAATCGTGCCGAGGAGATCGACTTTGAGCTAAATCTTGTAGAGATTAGATTCCGAAAGTTCCCTCGCGATGCAGCGAGTCAAAACTGCCGCTTAGAAATATACGTACAATACACGCGTGTGATTGTACGAACGATCGCATCATACGTAGCTACGTTATCGTACGTAGATACATGGTTTTTTCTTCTTTTTTGTTTACACGAGCCTCACTCGTCGAAACGAAGCAAAAGTGGACCCTTCATTTCTAGACGTTCTCTCTCGTGTTCGAGGAATCGGTCAAGTACGACGATACAATCAAAATTGTGAGATGATGTATCACGCTTAAGACTCACACTTTGCGATTTAGTGAATTGGAACATATCTCATATCGTCGAGTCGATAATTCGCAGAAGAACAAAACAAAAAAAAAGCAAGGACACACTTTTTAATCTCTAGATAATCTAATTGTAAGATAGACTGAAAATATTACGACCATATCTCTCCTGCTCGAAATAGCGCGTTACGTATTTTTCCGTGCATGGGTACCTCTTACAAACTGAGACAGCGAACGATCAAACCTTTCTTGTTTATTGAAGATAAGAGTGCTTCCTTCAGTAGCGATTGCGTAGAGGAACGAAAGAGTATTGATGTCCGAAGTCCATGTCTGTGAGAGGAAGACAGGGTACCGAAATGCACGATTGACTGCGTGTATGCGTGAAGCGCACATCGTAACGACGTGTAAATTCGTCGTGCGTGACGTTTCACAAGTACTTACTGATGTAGAAAAGAAAACAGATCGAAGAGTCAACCCGGTGACTTTCCTTAGCTATTGATAAGGAAGAAGCAAACGAAAGAAGGAAAGAGAGAAAGAGAGAGAGAGAGAGAGAGAGAGAGAGAGAGAGAGAGAGAGAGAGAGAGAGAGAGAGAGAGAGAGAGAGAGAGAGAGAGAGAGAGAGAGAGAGAGAGAGAGAGAGAGAGAGATGAAAATTTCCGCTCACAAGAAACAAGAAAATTGCCATACTGCCAAATTGACAATTATTAATGCTGTACTCATTATGAACGGTAGGGATCTTCTCATTACCTATTATAATGTTAGATAGATCTTATAAGAAAATTGTTTTAAGGCTAGATTAAGCGACGCCACTAGGGAAATGAAATGATGATGATGATGATGATGATGATGATGATGATGATGATGATGATGATAATGATGATGATGATGATGATGATGATGATGATGATGATGATGATGATGATGAAAATGAGTCGAATGAAAGAAGGATGAAAGGAAACGGTGCCTATATTCAATGAAAGGTGCGCAAGTGAATTTGTGCACACTTGTAGAAAGAAAAAAAAAACAAGAGGAAACTAATTTAAATAGGAGCACTGTATGTTGAATTCGTGTACTGTTCTTCCGAGCCCTCGACGCCCTTATGTACAAAGTTCCAACATAACTTCTACCTCGAATATGTCATGCCTTTCGAATTTCTGTGTATCGAGATAGACAGTATGCCGCAAGTTCGATTTTCTTCGCATCGATTGCATTATTTGATTCATCGAATGTTTCAGACCGAGATAAAATTCATATCGAAAATATCACAATTATTCACGTCCATTCAATGGTGGATCATCGACACTTGTAGCATACACTTTTGCGTTGTTCTAAATACAAGCCAAATTAATGCCAAAATGTTCATTACAGAATAACGCTATGCGTGACGTGAGAGACGGTTATTTTTACGATATCACCGATGCTTCTATAGAATTCTGTAGAGTCGTCCAAGTAATTCTTTTCGCAATAAAATATTCATTCTGTAACGGTAATAACTTTGGATACACGTATCGTGTAATTTAAGTCGCAAACTTGTTCAACCTGCGAAGACAATAATCGTACATTCGCTTATCTCTTCTGTATGCTTCGAAAGGCGCACCATACTTTTTGCTATAATGCTTCGTAAGATACCTGTACGGTAAGATAACAAACACGATATCGGTTAAGTAGCGCTCGAAAAGCTTATCGGTAACAAATTTGCCCTCTGTTTTTGGCATTTACTTGGCTGTAAAGTTTCAACGCATCGTTATATATACGTTATAAAATATTGTTGAGACACACACCTGAGTAACATCACATTCCAACAGCACTTCCATGATTTCTTACGTTTCTGCCCGAGTGTGTACTCCCTTCTTGCGTTGAATTCGAGTGGCTCGAGGGTCAGGAACTGTGACTAAATGTACATAAATGCACCGTCTGTCATTAGCAACATTATATAAATATATACATATATATATATAAAATGATAAATAATATATACATAGATATATAAATATCGTAAAAAAAAAAAAAGATGCGAGTGCACATAAAAACGTGCAAATATTATGCAAATCATGTGGGTATTTTCCAGAGAGTATCGTGTTGTTTTAAGTGAGAAACGCGTTGTGTATTCTACTCGTAATATTTAAATTCCCTAAACATCTCTTACTTACAATTTTACATTTGTTTTATATTGTTCTTTTTTTGTTTTTTAATTAGTTTTTTGTAATAGTAGTGTAATCATTTTTTCGATATACGGACGTACTTTTATATAACGTCTTCACGCAAAATATTGCTTTCTGGACTGAATATATAATTCCGGGATTCTGGGAGAATCGCTTGTCCGCTTTATCATTGCGATATTTCTCGTTCTGTCTTGTGTTGACAAACTGAGGGCCATCATTAGTAGCATTTACCATTATCTATATTTTCTTGTACTTGAAACAGAGTACTTAATTTATTTCATTATTCTTAAAACTTTATACGTATAATTGTATCAGAGTGATACTCTGTATGCATCAAACTTTGTCACTGCCCATTAAACCGTTTGTGACCATGGCATTTTTCACTAATTTCTAGTGTAATGATAATTATTGTACTACTGCTACTATACTTTTCTAACGATAATGTTAGCTGTAAACACGATTCTGCGATTTGTCTTACGTCTCGAATATTCCACTATACGACACTAATATTTTAAATTTGCATCAATGACATGTCTCGAGTTATCACGTTGCCTATTTCTACATTAGCAGCGATATGCGACTTGTTATGACTCGACAACAATGTTTGGCCTTCAGTGGAACCGTAAGCATATGTTTACTGCAGCGTACAGCGTCTTACTTTGAGTGAAGGAGAAGCGTATATTTATACAATATTTTTTACATGGAATTGTTTCTTTTCTCGTCGATTTGATTTGTACGTTTGTTGCTTTAGTAAAATTTTAAATTTGAGGTAATACTTTTAACAGGCGTTCTCTCGAATCGATTAAGTCATGATTATTAGCGAGAAAAGATTCCGTGGCATCTCTTTTCCTTTTTGAGTACGCATAATTTAAAAGACTGTAATTGGTATTTAAAGACTCATAAAGCTGGCTCAGACATTCCTTGAAATATATCGCTAATGAAACGTTACACACAGTGCATGACTGGATGATGTTTGTTAGCTCTCTTACATTATGATATATGACTGAAGAAAAAGAAACGCTGAACACGAAACTCAAAAACAATATGTTAAAGACATTTAGGATAAGAATGGGTGATATTTTAACGATTATATGTTGTACATCGGGAGGCTTCATCTGTAAATAACACTGACTTATTTCTATTGAGATGTTTTCGTCCGATTACATTATGCGCGACTCATTAATTCATTCGTAGTTTTACGATATAGAGCGGAAACATTTCAACTACTACTTTTCAGCGAAATAGTTCCTCTCGCTATATGGGAATACTTCTCGATAAGGAGATTGTTAACTTTTCAATTGTAAAAGTCAAATATCCCGTATTCACTATGATTTTTATTATAACATTCTTACGGAAAAAAAAGAGAGAAATTAAAGACTTCGCTAAAAAGTAACTTGTTCGAATCGTCATTATAGACATTCATCTGTAAGGTCTTCTCATTAACGTTCATCCTCCGGCGATAACGACATGTAAACTAAAAAAAAAAAAAATTAAGTTCTAATAACACGAAAACCCGACGAAACCTTCGTGGAAAATTGCTCGATTTTGAGACTTTGATGTAATTATTATCAATCAACCTATGTATTTCGCCAACTTTCTTGATGGCTTCACGTTTCAAGTTCCAGGCTAAAATACGTTACGCGAGAAACGAAATTATAAATTATTGTATAAATATACTACTAGTTATAAGTTGGTATTGTTAGTCTATACTCACTAAAATTTATCACTACAAGGAAGTCCACGATATTCGTACATTTATATTAATAACATACTAATAATTGTAATGTTACTAAGTTTTTTGTATCATTCCAGAACTTTCGTGTACGTTGTACTTTGGTAGCGTGTCCCTTGTTAGTCTTTATAATTTTTTATGACGTGAAATGTATAGAGCAATATGTGGTTTGTTGTATTCTTCTTCTTGAAAAAAAAATAAAAACGTACACAACTCGCGTCTTCGGAGCGGTTTTGATAATGTAATGAAATACAATCGGCTACACGTTAGCTCCGTGCAATATAGCGAGTTCGTTACTGTGTATAAGATCGCCTCCGATTCATCTGCGGATGAATCAGCAAAGCGGCCGCGGTCGCGTGCGCGCGAGCGCTCGTGCGAATCCGAAGAAGAATATGAATTTAAAAGCAAAGAATAAGTCAAATACTAAATATCGTTGAAAGAATGGGAAATTATTTTGTGATACTTTCTTGCCAGAAAGAATACAACAGGCTGAGGTAAAACATGATAAATGCAATGTTACTAATTAACAACTATACAAAATAAATATTGTGTAATAGGAAGAGTCTGTTGACAAGGAAAAATACCGTGTACATTATGTATTGCCTTGTGGCATCAATAAACTAGTAACTAACTAACGTAACAGCGTGATGTTTCGTTTTTTCCTTGTCAAAGAACGCTGGACGTGAAAAATGGATTGATATTTTGGACGGGTATTGTCTGGAGCTACGTAGTGACACAGCACAGGTAAAAGTTGTAATAACGATTTATTATAGACTGCTTAAGAGATACCGCCTAACATCATTATGTACAAACGTTCGCATAGATTCGTTAAATTATTCGGCAGGAGAATACAGATTCCATATGACGGGTCAGTGTGCTGGCGAATGATGTATAGTTCTTATATTACATTACTCGGTTGATTGGAATTATTCGTCGGAGGACTCCTTGCCATCATCGAGGCCACCTGTGGTGAAACAAATTCCGGATAAACATAGTGTATAGATTCTAGTCAAAAGTATGCGAACGAAATTATTCGATTCGCCGAACGGAGCTACGAGAAGAAAATGTACATTTTGAATCACTTGTTTCCTGAAGAAATCACTCGTGGCCGTTGAGATGTTTTTATCATTTCCCATTTTACATTTAATATAGCCGTACAGGTTCGCACCATTCAAAACGATGGCGATGCAGACGAGCAAAAGCCATTTGAACTTAAGACCGAACAATGCGATGATAAAGAATATTGACCAAAGAAGCGGGCACAAGATCAGAGCCAGCCAAAAGATACGTGCCTCGGTTGCGTTAATGCGATTCTGTTGAACACCCTGAAACACGGGGCGCATAGCAGATATTGGATTTTCAGATGAGGATACAAGTAACTTAAATGTTATCGATGGTTAGCTACATCATCGTCGGATGATTGCTGCAATCGGTGGCTGTGACGATTAAAATTAATTTAATCAAATAATTACCAGCACCTAATTATAATACCGTACAAGCAACGGTGGATTTAGAAAGTGTCAAGGGTACATGACGTAACACAGCTGGTAAACCTTGAACTACTCGATCTCATTAAATCAGTGTTCGGTGAAACGTAACATTCAAAAAAAAATATATATATACTTGATAATTGAAAGTTATGTTAAAATGCGGGTTGTACGAATGCTACGACATTTATATACATCTATAACCGGATCTCTCATGTCACTTGCTATAAATATAAAGCAAGCGCTAGTTAAATAAAACAGGCACCTGTTCCTGTGACGGAAGAGTTTAAGAATTTAAATGCAATGGTCGATTTCCTTGTCGATTATACAAAATTTCAGATTCAATAAGACAAAGGCAATCAATTTCAACATAATGCATATTCAAAGTTTTAAATTACGATAAATTGCATGTGCATGAGCAAATATATGTTCAACATGAGTGAAAGTACATATATAATCGAGCGAACCTTTTTAGATTCGAAAACCCAATGACTCTTGCCATCGTCGTCCACATAATTCCACCATCTAAGGCCGACCATTAATCTGCCAGTAATATTCTTAACTGTCCAGAAATCCATCGATAAAAGTAGTACAACAGTTACAAAGCTCGCTATAAAACTATTGGAAAACCAACCGCAAAGCATATAAACTACTATAGCCGCTATCCTGAAGGCCAAGTGAAACAGCGTAACGTATGGGTGTCTAGAATTATAAAGGATAATATTTCATCTTACAGAAGTGTAATCCACTTGCACAAAGAGATATATGTCTTCGTTATATGTACTTAAGCTTGTTGGCATTTTGGGCCGCCTCCTCCTCCTCACCGAAAGCGATCGTGTCGTCGTCCATCAGTAAAGGTACCTGTAAACGAGATTGCGAGATATTCCGCAGGAATGTCGAAATGTGTTTATCGTTTTTATGCAAAGATCATTCGCGTAGCCACGTACTTATGACACGAGAGAACGGAGAAACGCAAAAAAATTAACCGCCAAGTAGAGTCCCGAGAGAGAGAGAGAGAGAGAGAGAGCACCGTTTGCCCACGTCAGTCAACACGAGAAATCAACGCGATCCTTTGCGACACAATCCTTTCTTCGCTAGTATACATACGGAAAATGAACGTCAGAGTGTAACGATATATCTTCCACCTACTATCGCCAACTAGGCAACTATTACTCTCGGTAGTCCCCTCCGTAAGAAAACGACTATTTCGCTATACGGACAACCGAATGCTTCGGGGGACGCTACGACTAAAAAAAGAACACACACAAAACATGATGCAGCGTCAGTATGTGGACGCGATCGCGCGGATAATAATTGCTGCACACCTACCGATGCGGACGCCATGTTTCGGACGTTGACAGCAGACACAGCGTCGCGCGTCGTCTGCTGCAACGGCTGCCAACAGTCGACGATAGTTCCCCGGCTACTTCGTCGCGCGAAAACGGTGTTTCCTCAAAATGCAACGTGACGTCCGGCGTTCCGGCGTTTCACCGGCTGCGAGCATTGTCGATCAAGGCGAGTACCTTGGCACCGTTAATAACCGGTGCGGATTGCGGCCTCGGCTCGCGTAAAGATCACGCTCGCGAGGCGCACAGCGACCAAGACCGAACGGCCGACAGCGATTGGCTGAGAACGGAAGCCGTCGCCACCGCCGCGCTGACCGAACGCCCCCCACGTACTTACTCGCGTATATACATGCGCGCATACATACGTCACGACGACGTGACCAACCCTGCTTGCTTATCGGCGCGAGGGAGAGAAATCGAAGGCGCGCTCGCGCGTCCGGCCCCGCTTCCGCCTTCGTCCGCACCCACATGCACGTTCGCGCTCATCCACGCATCCACGCAGCGCGTCGTGTCCGGTCGCACACACGTGTAGTGCGTGCGTATGCGAATCAATTAGAACGATATTCGGAAGTCACGATTGACGACGCACGCGCGCGCGCGCACGCGGGTGTGCGGAGCAGCGGCGGGGGCGATAATGCGTCGCGATACGGCCAAAGTGCGCGGCGGTGGTAACACGCTCGTTCGCCGTTTATTCGTACGTACGTGGTAGTGGTGTGTGTCCGTGACTCTCGACGCTCGTGTGTCTCGTCGGTGACACGATGCTCGTATGTCGTCGGTGGGCTCGACGCTCGTGTATCGCTGGTGCGCGCGGTGGTTGAGATAAGCAACGCGGGGGACTGAGTGCACGCGAATTCCGTCGGGTGTTCGGTTCTTTCGTGGATCGTTCGCTCGCTCGCTCGCTCTCGCGCTCCCGTACGTCGGCGCCGTGACGCGCTCCGTCCGTCGACCGCATATAAGCCACGCTCGTCTTGCTCGATGTGACGTAGGGACGCACTCGCTCAGGATGCTCAAGGATCACACAGCGACCACCCAAGCGCTTCTCGGGACCCTGTTCACGTGGGCTCTCACCGCAGCCGGCGCCGCGCTCGTCATCGTCATACGGGGGAAACAAGTGAGTTGACCCGTCGTCATCGTTTGTTCTTGGCGCGCGGTTGCTGCCGCCGCCGTTGTTGTTGCTGTTGCTGCTGCTGCTGCTGCCGTTGCCATTGCCATTGCTCGCGATAACTCTTCTTTTCATGTATCAAACCGCGTTGCAACGCGACGCGTGTCAAACGCCATCCCGTCGTCTCGTGAAAAACTTAACCTCTCTGGCGCGTCCTGTACGATGCTTCTCTTGGCTTACGGATCAGCACTTCGAACCGTGCGAACCTACACTGTTTCAGAATGAACGTATCCTTACAGTTGCACTTTCTACACCTCGCGTTTTCCCATCTTTCCTCTCTGTAAACGCGTGTTCGAACATTTTGTCGTTTCCCGTCGCGGATTGTTTCCGATCGAAAGAGCGCAGGTCTCAACGCGCCGTTATTCGAATCCGACAAATGATCTTAACGCGCGTTCAACAATCTATTGGATTTTGCTGATAAATTTGACGCGTATTGTCGATATTCGACTCGCAAGGCGGAAGGACCAATCGGCGTTGACGCGTCGAACGCGCGGTGCTCGATTATCGATACGATACGAATGAACTTAGGCGCGGAGGAATAACCGTAACGTCTTTCCTTTTGAGCCAAAATGGCATCCCGAACGGACGCACCGACGTTCACGAGCGCATTTGTAGCGGCATTAGCAGCAACAATCTCGTCCGCGCGATTGTGTAAGTGACATTTTCTTGGCTGGCTGCACGGCGTAAACTTAAATTTAGAGTCGGTAAAGCGGGATGAAGCGGCAGCGGCGACCACGGCGTCTCCTCGCTTTGCGGGCTTGATGCGGCCGCGCGAGCGCCTAATCCGCCGCTTCCTCCGAGACTTTAATCCTCCTACTTCCTGCGACTTAATTCGCGCGAGCACAACGAGAGAACGCGACTCTGACCGTGCGCTTTCACATTTTCCTACGCAAGCTATGAGCGTGTCGTCACGAATTTTGTCCTTGTTCTTCGAAGTAACCGAGATCACGTTCACCTTCGGGCAATATATGGCCTTCATCGCGAGCTTCACTTGTTAATTCGCTACGCGGCGGCCCCCGGATATACGGAAACTCTCGCTTGACCGTTATCGTTTTGATATGTTTTGCATTGACGACCTGGAGTAGAATATTCGGCGCAGATCGCAGGTTAGGTATATCGCGTACGAGGAAATTGTTTCGAGAATTTTAATTTTATCGAATGTTTGTAATGGAATGCTGCGCGTTATCTTTCCTAGAACTTTCTAGAAAAAAAAATGGTAGCCACGTTGGATTCCACGTATTATTTTTTTTTGTCAGTAGATATTTTTTATCATGGATTTTCCTTGTTTTCTTGATAGTGAGATAACGAAATATATTTTTTCTCCTCGATATCATCAGTGGCTGATATCAAGCGTAATATATGCGGAAAATACACAAACAGCGTCATATTATTCTCATCGTAGATATCGCTCGATGTTATCTACCATCTAATAATTTTTACTTCTAATTCAACAATGCGTAACTGCTCAAATAGCATATAATTAGACAGTGAATTATACTGTAAACAAAATAAATTCTGAAAGTTTTACGAAATTCATTTTGAAGTGGAGAAAAAACAAATATTTTGTCGTGAAAAAAATTTCACAATAAGAATTTCTGATGAGGGAGAGGATCATTATATTTACAACATAATATCCGCAGTGCATTTGCGGGGGATTATCTAATTGATATCGCAAACGTGATTGTACGAGAGACAAATAGGACTTGCCGGTGATATTTCCGTGCAATTGATACACAAGATAAAGAGCACGTTACGCATATTGAAATATTGACACAGATATCGATATATTCTCGTTGTGTGTTTACGCATACGTACATTTCCAAGTAAATATTCGTACCACACCCTTGCGATGTCGCGACGGAAGTTGAACTTGCACTTGACGAAATTGTGGAAACGGACTTTAAAACTGCGTTCAGAGACATGCTATTAGCGCTATCTAAAATTATTTGTGTAGCAAAATAGCGCGATAATGATAGTGAACGTCACGAGAGCTACTGACACGCTACTTCGAAAAGAATAGCGTTGATAGTGCGCAATTATGGCGTATTAACGCCATTATATATTTATATATTTACTATTAGTGACGTAAGGCTAATAAATGCTAAGAGCCCAAATCAATAAATGGACAGCTAAGGTCATTGAATGATTTAATATAGTAATGTTAACATCACCCTATTACCGTATTCGAGAAGTTCGCTTTTACTAATGCGCTGTTGGTTCCATGAACAGTTTTAATAGCACAAATAAAGTCCCTCCAAATTAATAGTGTTCGAAGAAAACGCTATTAGTACTACTAATAGAACTCCCTAATAGAAATTAAACTGGAAAAATAATTTAACAACGAAAGAAACACGCAAATTCACAAGACTGAAACTTGCTGCGAATGCTATTCCTTCACTTCTTTTCCTAGATTGTGCAAATACCCCGTCCTCTGACCTTAAAGTATAAATAAGTGGAGCTATTTTGTAATATACACGCGCGTGCTACAAGTTTCTTATAAAATAAACTCGTGTGCGCGCAACTCTCTTTAAATTTTCAAACAGCACCACCTATCTTCTTTCTATTCACTTGCTTTCCTCTAATCTTAATGCAAAAGAGTCGCAAATTCTATAAAGACAATACGTTTCCGTTTTAGCGGAAGCTCCTCGATGTCAGTCTGGGGTTCGCTGGCGGCGTGATGGTGGCCGCGAGTTACTGGTCATTGCTGGCTCCAGCGATCGAAATGGCAACCGAGAGCAAGATATACGGGGCGAACGGCGAGTACGCGTTCGTGCCGGTCGCAGTTGGCTTCGTCATCGGCGCGGCATTCGTATACGGGACGGACATGTTGATATCTACCCTCGGCATTCAGTCCCCCAATGTGCTTTTAGCTATGCAATCAGTCGGTACGAAACAAAGACGCAAAATTGCGAAACTAAAGAGTGACGAGGACTTAGACGATAATGTTCCGTTTAACGACGTACAGATTTCCGGAAGTGGAAAAATGTACTCTAGTGTCGAGTCGACCACTATCGATGGTATTTCATATTCCTCTCGTAAAATTCCAGTTTTCCTCTCTGTAGGCTTGGAAAATGGGATCAGTTCGCGATACATATACTATACTATTCTATATTTATATATACATATGTCTATATATGTATATAAACGTCAGTGTACACTCGCCCCTCTTTGCTTTGTCGCAGACATAGTTGGTTTTTATCCAGGGATAGGCATTTTTCTCGTTTTTTATTATCTTCATGAAAAACGATCCGCCGATATCGATCCGTCTTAAGATGCAACCGACGCACAAGTTGAAACTTTTGCATGTAGCATGGCTCGAATTGCTTGTATAAACAGCGGTAGAACGGTAAAATCATTCACTCCAGAATTTTCCGCTCCTTAACTTGATATAAAGTATTGCTGTTTCGGTAAATTGAGCTTCGGTAATTCTCCAAATTTATCACGTGCATTGACATTGAGACATTCTATTTTCATGAAATTAAAGTTCTTGTTATTCGAGCGACTAGTTAAATTTCAAGCAGAGTCTAATTCATGAGAAAGCCTAATATTATTGCTCCATTTCTTATATCAAAATCATTGCTTATTCTGGATAAATATACTATCTGTATTTAATTGTGAGCGATGTGTAGTTTCTCGTTTGCAAAGTAACATTCAATAGAAAAGAAACATGAATGATTGATTGGCATAACATATTTGCTCCAAAATACCTCAAGCTTTGTATTAGTATATGCATGGTGTTTGTAGTAAAAATATGTAGAACTCCGACACGCGAATTCAAACTAAACTTACAAATAAAAATACCCGACTTCCCCAAACCGGCTAAATATATACTACTTAAACTTAAAACTTAAATCATAAATTGTAAGTCGCTAACGAGTGATGTGACAAGGAGTGAACGATATACACAAGGCCGAAAATATTCGTTTAAAATATATCACTAATACAAAGTGCACGTCCGCGTAAAATATCGCTTAATGATACATACTTCAAATTAAACAGATAATAACATCTCTTTGGATTCGTGTGAGGAGTTCTATGAGCTTGAAATAACTGATCTTATTAACCCTGCCTAAACGAACCTAATTTGCTCGTCAAACGGGCAAATAAAGAATATATCCGCAGTATAAAAAGATTCCCCTCTTTCTCTCTTTCTCGATCTTTCTGATAAAAGTTATATTTGCATGAAGTGCTCCTGTGCCTGTGGTTTTTTGAAAATTTGTGCCAGGGTGGAGCGTGGTATATGGGTTGCTGTCAATGTTTACTTTTTCAGGCTTCTACGAACAGAATAGTAGACGTCGACAAATAGCGAATATAAACAGAGCGTCAGAATCGGGAGAAATCGGCACGGTTTACGAAGATCCCAATAACGAGGCGAGAAACAATCAATGGCGGAGGATATTGCTGCTAGTTGTGGCGATTACGGTACATTTCTGCAAGATAATAAATAACAACCGTTCGAACCGTTCGTTCAGATATCGAACCGTTCGCATATCACACGAACTGTCAACGGAATAATAACGCGCATTTCGACTTTTGCAACTAGGTGCATAATATTCCCGAGGGCCTCGCAGTTGGTGTGGGCTTCGGAGCGATAGGAAGCAGCGCATCAGCAACATTCGAAAATGCAAGGTAAGCTGCATAGTTCCGACAAAGTATAGTATACATTTCACTGCCTCGCATTTTAGAGCCACAAATGATTTATTCATTTACCGAGTGAATTACTTTATATAAATATACTGCGCGCGAAAATGATGAAATTACTTATAGTGAAAATTTCGATTTTAGATTTTTTAGTATATATAACGATTGCAAATTTAAATATGTCGCTATTGAAACAAAAGGAATTTTAAAAAGAATACGTTCTATGTCTGTTACGACGTTGCACGACGCTACTAACGACGAAGACTGTACTATTAGTATTGCTGGTTTAGATCAATCTTGCCTATTCAATTGATTACGCGAGTTACAAAGGTTAAATGCGAAGTTAGCGAACTGGTGGAATTTTATGTATTATCGTGAACAGTACTGGCGATATCGAAAGGAAAGCAATTCGAAATAACTCTGGGAGAAAAAAGCGACAATATTAATATTATTCGCATTCCAATCCGTGAGATGAAAACGGGTTTGGAATTTATAAAGAATTCATGATATTCCGCTTCATTTCGATCATTGATTACACAGTCATGGTATTTGTATCACATTCCAAGAGCGATATGTCATTAGCGCGCGACCAGTTTCGCATTATAAAATACATATTTTATTATTAAGATGATTCGAGATTGCGTTAATAGTAGTTGACGTAATTCAGACAGAACAGGCATTTGAGGAAAAATTTTGTTTGCTTAAAAGGAAGAAGAAAATAATCGAAATCTCACGAGACTAAATTTTGCACAAATGCAAAGATGTTTGCATTGCTTTATTAAAAAAAAAAAATTAAAAGATAAATAGGAAAGAGCATAAAATACAAAATGATAAACGAGCCTATCGGGCCGGAGAAGCGTATCTGGAACATTGCTCCGACATGTTTTCGGAATTTTTGCGGGTTGATGACCTCTCGGGAATTTGCACGTTCGTCCAAGTTTCCCGCTGCGCGTTATCGACGCTCTTTTCCTGAGTCTCCGACTGTACGCTGGATGGCAGCAGCATGAGGTACTCGCAGTCTCATGATCGAGGTGGTCGGAACAAGGCGAGCCGGCCGAGCGGCTCGCGTGGTAGGAGGTCTCCATGAATGAGCTCTATGGTGGTCGACCGCGACCGCCAGTTGGAGGCGAAGTTTATTGGCTTCGGACGGTGCCTGCGGGCGCGCGGGAAGGGAAGGGCACGTGTGGCCCTGGAATCCGACGAGCCCTAGGCGCCGCGCATTCCATTCCACTGCGTCCCCTCTCGTCCTCCAAACCCCTCTTGCTCCCGTGTCCCGCTTCTTCTTTCGCGCTTTTGCTGCTGCTGTTGCTGCTGCTGCTGCTGCTGCGGCAGCAGCAGCAGCAGCAACTACAACCGCAACCGCCCCTCCTCACCTCATTCGCGCACTGTCGGTGTTTTCGAACTTGCTTCCTTCGGGTTCGCGTTTGCTTTTCGAGAATTTCGCTGACCCGTCTCAGTGTCTACACCCACACACGCACGCGAACTTTATCCGAAACCACGCGGTAATCATACTCGAAATCAACGTCGAAATGTCACGAAATGCCCTTTTTGGGACCGGTCGCGCATTGTCGCGGTTTGCAGGATGTCGCGTAGCGATGTATTTTCCATTGTACGCCACGAGTCATTGTACTCTCGGTCATCTCTTCGCGTCAGCATATTCGAAACATTAATTGAATCATTAATTGTCCACCGATCGGAAAAAGCAGTTGCTGTAACGTCGCGTTTGATACTTTCTCGCGTACTCTTTCTCTCTTCTTTAACAGCCATTTAAACGGAATGCACGCGAAGCGTCGGATTACCTCGGCGAGCTTCGAGCCCGAATAACCGCGGACATGATCACGCGTATATATGGAGCCTAACTTAACATCACATGCGCCGACACGAACGGAACGGCATTCCGACGCATTCAAATGACGACGGAGCTCGGATTCCGCGGTCGTCCCCCGTAGTCGGTCGGTGGCGATGGGCCCATTAAGAATCCGTGGAATGAATGGACCGCGTCTCCGCTTTCCTTCTCGCGCGTAATAATTAAGAAAGTGGATCAGCGTGTGGGCGGATCCAAATCCCAGCGACGGTGTCGCAACGATGTCTCGGATCTATACCGATACGACGCAACATCGACCGACGTCGCGAACAATGAATATAATATCGCGCTTTGTATAAACCGCCGCTAAGCAGCAGATTTTCAATTCGTCGTACGTTCTTGACAGGAATGCGGAATATCATATGTGGTTTTTTTATCGTTTGTTTTTTTTTTTTTTTTACTTTTTTTTAATAGTTATTTTCGTTTTCGTTACGACCAATAATAACAACATCGTAGATGCGAAGTTTGCATAGGTAAATAGATTGTAGTTCGACATAGGTAAAATGTACGCTCGTCAATAATCTTAGAAATCAGGCAACGACGTCCGTTTCCAGCGATAATAGAGATAAGAGTACTCGCGACATCGATCGGACCATCGACGAGAAACGGGGACAATTAATAGCGCAGCGAAAGCTATTTTCTCGGGATTTTCTCCGCGACTCTCTGCTTAATCTGGGAACAATCTGGGGCCGACGACGCCTTTCACGAAAAGTGATTAACGGCGTCACCTTAAAAGCGGTCGAAAAGCGACGGCTAAACTATTTCGGAAGTGAAACTTCCCACACGGTGTGCGGCTTATTGGCGGTTATTGGTAAATCGTAGCCGCGGCTAATAAGAGAGAAATTTCGCAACAATTTCGGCGCGCTACGCGCTTTGTGGCGCGCTTTTGCTGCTGCCGGGCTGCCGCGTGCAACCTAGTCCTCTTTCGAGAGCGCCGAGAGAAGGACACGTTGCCGATGCCCGTTTGGAAAAATCGCTCGGCCTTGAGCGACCCTAGCATGCCCTTTTCTGGCCCGACCAGTTCGTAACGAACGGCATACCATTCTCACGACGATTGCGATTAACCAACCCCCTTGGTCCTGCATATATTTTCAGCTGCGCTGGAAGGCTCGCGCCGCCGGAGCGCGGTTGTATACACGTACAAGGTGTCCGAAACGTGTCGCTAGTTGCGTTACTTTGAGGAAAGTTCGGACACATCTTAAAGCGTGGCCGTTGCGTAAGCATCGCTATCCTATGACTAAACTCGGTTTTCCTGTCCATAAATCGTGCGCTATCGATTGCAGTATCCGCAATGGACGGAATAAAAAAAAAGCTCTGAAGGAGACCGTTGTCACGGTGTCCCGGTCAAGGAGAACGTCATCGAGACGTAGTCGCGATGGAAATGAAATTTTGCGCAATTCGAGCGACCGGCTCCGCCGGTCGCGCGACGGCCGACCTACGTTCGCGTCGCGTCCTTTCCAAGGAAACGTAACTCTACTCGCGATGGCGGCGGTGGCGGCGGCATAAGTTCCGGTCAACGGTGCTGAAAGAATCATGAATGAAACGTTTCGCAGTTTCTGCTGCGCTGCAACGATCGCCACCGCCGCCGGTGTTGCGGAACGACGATCGACGGAGATGCGACAAGAAATTGAAGGAAAAAGAGGAGAGAGAGAGAGAGAGAGAGAGAGAGAGAGAGAGAGAGAGAGAGAGAGAGAGAGAGAGAGGAGGAGGAGGCAGGCGTTAGCAGGTAGATGGAAAGGTACGGGCAGCCGAAGCAACGAGCAGATTTGCGCCCGTTGCAAAGCGCTCAAGGAGATCCGGTACTGACTCACTACCGAGCGGTGCTATGCGAATTTTTCGCGGAATGTGGGTCTCTCTGCCGTTCGCTTCTTTCGTCCTTTATTCACGCTTTTTCCAGAAATTCTCGCATTCCTGCGTCGCATCACGTCGCGGATTACACGCTGCCGATTTTGTCGGATAAACGGCGAAGAGCAGAGAACGTGGCCGCGGGATGTAATTCGGATCTGTACGCGATGCCGCGATTCATTTCTCTCCTCTCGAGCAGTCGTGTGGAATACGAGGAAAATTTGCGCGTTAGTTAGCAACGCGGAAAATATCGCTTTTCGACGTCCCACGTCGCGTGTTGGCGTGTAGGCGCATATTTGCACGGTAGAATGCAAACGTCATCGTCGATTTTTGATCCTCTGCTTTTTCGGCGCGTGCTCAACAAGCTGGAGGTGACAAGTAGCATCTCTCGACGTAATCGTGGACGCGCTTTCGAGCCCGGGAGAGAACGCGTTCCCTGAAATTTATTTACGGCGCGCCGTAAACGCGGACAACGTTTCGGATCACCGTAGGCGGAGTACGATCTCACAAAGGGCGCGAGGATCTGATTTGTATACACACTGGCCCTCCTCACCCCTCACCTCCTTCCCTTCCTTCTCTCCTCCATTGTCCTCCTACTCGTTCTTTTTCGCGGCGCTGCTGCCGGACGAGAGAAGGTGGAGGTTGTGAGCGGTGAGGACGAGAGGAGCGGAGAGAACGTGTGTAAAAACGGAGGAACCGCGGGGTCTCCGAGTCGCTGCGCCACGTAGATGAGGTGGTGCTATGTTAAACATGGCGCCGGACAAAGCTGCCGACGAAACCATCTCATTTCAGTGCTATCCTCTCCCGGCTGCCTTATTATATACCGGCCGACCGGCGCTCACCGCGGTCCCTTCTTTCTTCCTCTCGCTCTCTCTCTCTTTCGCCCGATATCCTCTCATCCTTATTCTCTCTCTTTCTCTCTCTCCTTTCCTTTTCTTTTTTCTGCTCTCCCCCCCTCCCCTTTTTTTACCTCTTCGCCTGCGTTCCCTCTTCCTTTTACTTCCCCCCTCTCGCTAACCCTGCTGCCGCCCGTTCCCTCCTCCCTTCCAAAAGCTACCTCCCTCATCGTTCTTCCTCTTTCCTTTATCTTCATTCCGTTCTCGTTTCCCCTCGATATCCCGTGCATGTCCAGTCTAAGACGACGATGAAGGTCGAGATTGCGAACTTTTGATCCTTCGATATCGCGGCATTCGTCTCGAAGACGCTGCGGGCTTTTTTTCAATTTGCACCAACAAATTGTCCGGATTCCAGTGACTTTCTTTTTTTTATCGCTCTGGTC